AATTTCAGTTTTAATTTGTTCTCTTCTCCTCAAAACTTGTCTGGATTTATTTAATGATTTTCTTGGTAGTTTTATTAATTTTTTAATAAATTCATCAAAACTTTTCATTCCGAATTCCCAAAACATTTGTGTAAATCCATCTTTAATATCATCATCATAAATAGCTGCATTATTAAATTTTAAATACCATGGTTTATCTATTTCTGGAATAATTAAACTGAAAATACAATCTTTTGATTGTAATGCATTAACAGTTTGTGGTGTTTTACCATCACAGAATGTAAGCATAGCAATAAAATTATTTATCATATCATTCCCAAATAAATCAATAATATTATCAAGTATATATTTTTGATTTAGTGTTAGTCTTGCATTACTTGATTGTGCAACAAAACAAATAGCATTTAAATCTGATACTTTTGTTTCAAATGCTTCTTTTATTTGTCTTATTATTTTAATATCAAAAGCAATTCCTCTAGTATCTCCAAATCCAGGTGTATCTATTATTTTTATTGGTGGTGTTCTTTTTGTTCTTTTAATATTATAAATTGATACTTCACTTGTTTGACTTATGGATTGATCTCTACATTGTTTTAAATTATCTTCATTTATAATTATATACCTGAAATCATCTGTTATCTTGATTCCATATAATGCATTTACAAAACTATTTAATAATGTTGTTTTACCACTTCCTGTTTGACCAACAACTAAAATAGCAATTGCATCACTCTCATCCTTTGGATTAAATGGTTCATTTGGATATAAATATATTTTCAATTTTCCTTCTTCATGATTTTTCAATCTTATACTTCCTCTAATTGGAATATTTTGTTCAGATACATCTGTAGTATCATTTGTATAAGCATTAAATACATCTGTTGTTATATTGGTCTTATCGTCTTCTTCTTCTTTCTTTTTCCTCTCAAAATAATCACTGTAATATGTGTTCCATTCTTCTTTCTTTTTGTCAAATGATTGAGTGATTTTATATTTTTCTTTTGGTGTTCTGAATATTTTATTTTTCATGACCATTTCTTCAATTGAAATGATTTTATTGATTAGTGTATTCCGTGTTTTACTTAGTATTTCTTCATCTGAATTACATTCTTCTATTATTTTCTTCATTTGATTCTTTATTATTTCTATTGTGTTAATTGTTTCTTGACTTTTTTCTATTACTAATTTTCTTCTTCTTTCTGTTTCATCCATCCTATCAAATATTCCTTCTCCTCTTTTAATAGCTTCTGAATATGTTTCATCTGGTTTTATTTCAAATATTTCATTTTTAATACTTCCTAAATAATAATGATAATGTTTATTAATATCATCAATTGATTGTTGAATATTTGGAAGTGTTTCTATTTCTTCTTTAAAGAAATGAATGTTCTTGTTTATTAACTCTTCCATTTTAATTTAATGAATATCAGATTAAAATAAGATGATTAAATAACTAAATACACGTTTATAACACATCATTTTATTTATTATTTTATTATTTTAATAAACATCATTTCATTTTTATTGTTTTTAATAACAATAATAACTAA